CAACGGCTGGCATCAGGCATTGGCGCTTTCTCGATAGATTGCTGGCACCACGTTGGGAACGAACAAAAGACAGTATAACTCACGGCGACGCATCCACTTACGATAGACGATCGAATGCAGCACATGGGCCACACCGGCCCTGAAGGAGGCATGGAAGCAGTACCCGAACACGCCGGAGAACATGATGATCCCCAAATCGTCGAACTAGTGGTGGAGAGCCCAGCCGATGGCGAGGCGAGGGCGGGGCACATAGAGCAACTTGTTCAGCAACCTCGAGGACCCGTGCATGTTGGAGATGATGGGGGTATTTCAGGATTTGGGGAGACTTTTTCTGAATGGGCGAGGCTTTACAGAATGTGTGGGAGTGTCTTCCGATATGGATGGAGGTATTTCAGAAACAGTGAGCTCGTCTTCTGAAGTGGCTGGTGATATTTCAACAGTGGTGGGAGCGTCTTCGTAATGACGTAGAGGTATGTTTGAGTTGGCAAGGAGTGGTCGGAGCTGGTGGGGGGTATTTCAGATTTGAGGGGAGGACCGACGGAGGTGACTCAGGAAAAGACGCAATACGAGATGCGCGTGGAGGCCGCTGGTGGCCGCCCGTGCTTCGTGCGCGTTCATGAGGGTGGCTTGGGTAGTCTTCATCGTCTTAGAAAGGCTAGGCAAGACGAGCAGCTCCACCATGGCCCACTCCGATCGAAGTGTGGCTTATGTCTCTGCCATGCCTAGACACAGGTGACGTCGTGGCTCACCTCAACACCGTGCGCCGTTCTGATTCTGATTCGATATGGCAACCGTGTGCCACAGGTATGGGCCGCCAGTTCAGGATGCGGAATGCAGGGTGGTAACTGCGAAGAGGTATGCGACTCATGACGAGTCGTGCAACTTCTTGACCCAGTGGGCAAGGCTTTCGCTGGACAGCTCTGGCCACGACGCACGGCTTGCGGCTCGGGCAACGGGCTTCGAGCCTCGGAGGGGGCGGGGACAGACCATCCTCCAGCTGAAGGTGACTTGGTGGCATCTGGCCCGACGCAACGTGGCATGGGCGGCCCCATTCTTTGATCGCGCCAACGGTTTCCCTTCAGTCGATCAAGCAACATTGAGTAATGTGGTGCGTGCAGCATTTCCAGCTGGTGAAGCTGAGGTACTCGTGCGAAGACATGCGCGGGCTTTCTGTTTTCTCAGAGTGGACTCAGGTGACTGGGCACTGATGTCTCTTCGTTGTGGAGACCCGCAGGGCGACGTCTCCGCGCCAGATAAGTTTATTAACGTGTCGGACCCATGTATTGATAAATCGCGGTGCGCATGCAGTGACGTGCTCAGATTGGGCCTGCGCGGGGGCGCGAAAACGGCGAGCTCCCGCGTTGAGGAGTGGGATCTCTCGCTACATGTGCACATTAACGTGCCGATTGGACTCGGGCAAACGACCGGTGCATGGGTGTTTTTTTCTCGGGCATGCGGTCGGGCGTCCCACCAGAAGACGCGTCGTAGTCACAGCGAGCGGGATCTCACGTTCGATGGGGCGTCCGAACATATATTTGAGGCACCTGGGGGCAACGCATTATTTTGGCGGACGTGGAACGTGGGGGCTCAGAAAGCAGACTCGGCTCAGTTTGGAGTGGAATGCGATGGGCAACTTCTGGACAATTCGGTTCCCAGTGGCGAAGATCGCGTTCCTGGGGGTGGTGGTCAATGCGATTTAAGTTGGAGGAGAGGCTTGCATCTCATCTGATAGAGCTGCTGAACGCATGGATTGTTTTATCGCGCAGCGCGCGCGGGTGTTATTGATGGGGTGGTATGTGTGTGTGTGTGCGTGTGTGTGTGTGTGTGCGTGTGTGTGGGGGGGTGCCGCCAGACAGTGTGATGGGGGAGGTGGCAGCGCCCGCTGTCGAACACTATGAAGTCTGGAGACGTCTTGACTTGTATGTTCGGGGCAGTGCAGTGCGACGTCGGAGGCTTCGGTGGCTATATCACATGACTAGACTCTCAAGGTGCCACGCTGTTCTGCGGTGCGTGGTGACGAAGGCAGTGAATGGAAGTGGCCAACTTACTCGTCGAGGCGAACCTCATCGCCGGTGAAGTCCTTGTTTTTAGTCGGGTCGGAGCTGGTCTCAATGCGCTTGGGCGCCGCAGGCGACCCGCCCAGGGCGCCCTTCGATCTCGAGGTTGGTTCGCCCTATTCGAGGGGCCCGAAAAGTCTAATCCCCTGGAGGGTCTGATGGACATCGGAGAGCGCCCTGAGATCTCAATGCCCGCCGTGACTAGGAGTGCTGCCGAGCTGTTCATGTGTGAGTTTGTGTTGAATAAGGTTGCATGTGCACGTTCGTAGGCGATGATGAGACAGCTTCGTGATCACGAGTGTCGGGCCCATGGTATCTGCAATTGCTACGGGCGTGCCCCCCCTACCAGTCAGTGTACCTGGCGTGTGAGGATTCTCGCAGGTGTCACGAATGCTCGGCTCCGCTGCCGGTCCAGGGGCGAGAAGAATCCGCCGCGTTGTGTA